ATGAAGTATGAAGTATGCTTCAAGTTTATTTTATTAAGTATACTTAAGTTCAAGTATATTTTTAAGTATGTAGTAAGTAGTAAGTATACAAATATCAGTGTACTAGTAGTATACTTGTAAGTGTACTATTTCAATACTCCTTGGGACTAAATTGGCCCACTTTCTAGTATATAAAAGTATACTTTTAAGCATACTTTAAGTATAACAGTAGTAAACTTTGAGTACACATCTAGTTTACATCTATGTTTTTAGTTTGTACTGCAGCTATACTAAAAGTGAACTTATAGGTATACTGAAACCTTAAAGTATAGTCTCAGTAAAGTACTAGTTTAGTAGTTTTATACTGCAAGTATACTCGTAAGTTTTCTTTAAGTGAACGTTACATCATACTTTAAGTATACTGCTATGTCCCTATTTAGGTATTTACAACATACAAACATGAAACATACAAACATGAAAAAAAAAACAGGGTAAACAAAAACATTTTATTCTAGCTTCATGCATTCTTTTTTATAAACACTTGAATGTGGGTAAGTTTCATAAAAAAAAAAAAATAACATTTTGAACAAAAAGCTGAAAAAAGATTATGAATTGGATTCAGAGTGATAATCAAAACGTAGATGGAGTCGATCAACACCCCAAAGCTTGACAGTCATTACCTATTCATGGGTCGACATTTTATTCCATAACCTTACACAGTTTTGATGCTGTTTTATGTCTGGGGCCTGTACCATGAAGCCAGATTAGCTGGCTAGCCAGGTACGTTTCAGTTTAGTTTGCACCAATCCTGGGTTTTAGGTACCATGAAAGTGGCTTGGCTTTTAGCGGCCTTCATTGCCATGGTAACTTACACTCCACGGCTAACCTGCAGGTTATGTTCTGGGTAAGAGATCTCAAACTGAAATTGTACCAATCAGATGTGAATGATGTGCATGTCTGATGCAAAAAAGTCACTCCCCCAGTTTCTCTTGCTCCAAATTAAAGGTCACTAGTACTAAAAAAAAAAAAAATAATTCTCTGGGTTTAATGATAATTACTTATCTGATTATTTTATATGATTTATATAATTATATGATTTATATTATTATTAATCCATTACACACAAGCACTTTAGTTTAACAGTTATTATAAATAATTTATTTTAAATGAATGTTAATATATAAAGATTGTATGTATAAATAAGCTGTAGAATCAATAGATAACGCTTTTTAAAAATGACTACATGTGACTTTACATGTTCGAATCTATATTGCTGTATATTTTCAACTATATAAACTAACTTAACAAGTTTCACTTGTGACTGCACTGATAGAGCAAGATAATTTATTTTATTTGTCCACTTTCATTAAAAAGTATGTTTTTTAAATTGTAAATGCGTTTAAATTCATCATATTCTTCAATCTCTTAACCTTTAGCAAAACCTTAACCTTTAAGCAAGGCTCGTCATTGGCTGTTCGCCAGTGATGTCATGCATTCAAAAAAAGGATCAAAGCCTGAGTTGACAAAGAAAGTTGATGATCAGCATCATGGAACCAACAAAGTCGGATTGGAGTGGTTTGGTTTTGTAAACTCGAAACTAATCCTGTAGCTCTGTATTTGTTCAACTACCATCATGGTACAGGCCCCTGATCGTGTTAGATTACATGTGGAAGCATCTGTTGTTTTGGTTTCTTCTTCACTTGTGTTTTGGAAATTCTGTATAGAAGGTGTGTAATAGCGCCCCCTACCGGATAACAATGAAAACATGGATTCCCGAAGCACAAGTATCGCTCAAATATATTTAGACTTTTTCTAAGTATATTTCTGAGAAGTACAAAAAGCACATTTCTGAGAAGTACAGTACATAAAAAGTAGACTGAAAGTATACTTTCCTATTTGTTAGTTTAAAGAAGTATACTAATAGCACACTTGAAAAAACGTATTTTTCGTAAGGGTAGTAAACCAGTGTTTCTTAACTCCAGTCCTTGGGACCTATATACCAGAACGTTTTAGATGTGTTACTAATTAAAACACATAATTCAACTCATCAGTTTGTTGGTTTCTTAAACAGGGAGACATCTAAAACCTTCTGGGAGGAGCTGAGAAACAAAAGTTAAAGTAACTCACAATCAGAATGACAAAGCAAAGCATGACTCAAAAATATCTGACTAACCAGTTTGGGTTCCTTTTTGGCAACGGCCTTCAGGGCCAAAATTGCACCCATTTGAACTCTCATGGGAAACAGAGGTATTTGGTTCCCAAATACTGGTAGAAACTTTGTGATGTATTTAATGCTAGCAGGGTGACCGGCATTGCCTAGCACTTTCAGAATCAAAATCATCTCTGAAGTGTCAGCTTTAGCAGTCGCCTCAATAACAATCTCATGGAAGGGCTTGAAAAAAAGAGGAAGTTGTCCACATTCCACACATAGTCAAGCAAAACAATTAGTGAATGATCTTTTTTACCTTCAAAAGCTCCACTGGGCATTCAAGAGATCCACTGCAGTACCTGGCAATCATTGTCCCATAGCCAAGCATGGCAACCTTACGTAGAACAGGTGTTTCTTGAACTTTGTTACTCAAAGCCAGACCCTTTTTTGATTATAACATTTATAGAACAAGTTCAGACAATATTTGGCATGCTAAATTCGTGGTTTAAGCTTTGAGTCAATCATCACATACGAGTGTACGCACAGAGTACATCTTAATGGTGTCCAAATTAGCAGTGACCATATGCACAGTGGCCAGAAGGACCTGAGTGAACTCAGGGATGGAAAGTTCGCCTGCCAAGAATGTCTTCTTGATGAATTTTAGAGCAGCTAAGGTGCCAACTGCAGGAACAGCATCTAAGATCCATTTCCTTAGAGGAGTAAAAATGAGTGACAATTTGCAAATAAATGTTTTAGACTGTTAAAGTGAATATTTTGTACCTGAAATTTGGTCTGGTTTTAAATTGAGACCAGATTCCCTCAATAGCATCCAGACTTGCAAAACGCATAAGCTGGATGAGCTGAATAAATTTCAGTGGAACATCTTCATGGACCTCTTCCAGTTTTTTGGTAGCCAGATGATTCAGAGCATCTACTACCTTAACGAATACCAGTAAAACAAAAAGAGAGAATTAAAATACTACTATAATTTAGGATAAAAACCTAACAATGCAGTCAATATATTTCATGTATAACAATAATAATAATATGAAATATGCCCTTACTTGAGCCTGTGGATTACTGATTCTCATGAGCTGAATTGGACTCCAAAGTGTCTCAGTGCTAAATTCATACTGTAAAGCTCCACGGGCTAAATATTCAGCACTGATTGGAATTATGGGAGATGCCATAATCTCCAGAAAGGTCAAGGTTTGTCTGAAATATTGAGTATATACTTGGGTTACCACATAAAAAATTAAAACACAGATATACTTAATTCCATACGAGAGTGCATGAGCAAACGTCTTGCCTAGTTTCCATCTGGGTAGCGTCATGAATCTCATATAGAGTTGTAAACTGATGAACCTCTTGGACTGTTGCTTCAGTAATCATAACACCAGTTGGTGTTGGCTTCATGATGTAGCTGTAGGTTGCAGCTCCAGAGAGACTTTTTACCCTCTGTTAAATTATATAGTATATTTGAGTTTTTTAAGGTAACAGACCCTCTGCAGTACCTTTATGAAGCCCCAGTTGAAATCCCGGAATCTAAAGCATTGAGAAGAAAATATGACATGAAAATTTTGACCTGACCTTTTGACATTCAGTGCACTTTTCAATGTAAGTCAAGCCAACATCTTTAATTATCCTCTCATTGCAAAGTGTAAGATCCCTAGACTTGGTGATGGTGGTGTGGTTGCTTCCTTCATCTTCACTGATCAGATATTGGGTCTCGCATATGCCTTGAACTCCATCCTACATCAGAATGAAGACTCAGGTTTAAAATCAAGATGCATATTATTGATAATCAAACTTCATTTCAGCCAGTCTCACCTCTTGAACCTCATAGATGTTCTGGGTCTTCTTGAGGTTGAGCTGAAAGATGTTCAGAATTCCCCTGTGCAGGTTGATAACGGTAGTTGGGACCACAGAAGGTGCGAAAACCTTTCCAACCACACCGCTGGTGTACTCAAACTTAATAGGAATCTGAAGCTGAGCAGCCACTTCTGAGGTGAGCTTAGTAGCAACAAACGCATCTGTGGGCCAGATACCACTGTACTCGAACAGCTGAGGATTTGAGAGCTGAAACAAACAGGCAAACTTTGAATGATTATGTGCTTCTTTTCAATTATATCTCAGGTCAGTAACAGAACAAAGCTCCATGTTGTCTTTAAACTCTTCTGGCACCTTAAGCAGGACCGTATTCTCTGTTACAGCCCTGATGGAAACCTTGCTGTTGATCTTAATGCCAGCTCTTTCCAGACCTTCCTGGTGAAGACCACTGAAGAGCAAAGCCTCATATTTGTACACATAAGTCTGAGTGCCTGCCAAATCAGGGACTAAAAGTGCAAAATAGCATTTTAGATGTCACATAGTAAAATCTTATTTTGCCATTGGTAAACACACTAGTAGAATAGGATTAACCACTTTGCTTACCAAGATTCACATGCTGACTTGCTGAAATATCAGAGAAAGTTTCATGTTAATTTAATATAAAGTCCTACAGTGTCTATTTTGTCAAATTATGATATGCAAATTATGATATTTTTATCCATGCAAATGGTGACATTTAAAACAGCATTGCAGGCTACTTACCCACAAGGGCTATAGTCAAGGCCATGACAACAGTTCTCATGGTCAGCGGTTGTGCAAAAACACCATGTCCATTTTAAAGTCAAGCTTTTGCTGGCAAAATACTGATCTCAAAATGTATGATTAACCAGTTGTTTAGCAGAACCAACCAATTGTGTTCCTACTCCCGCCAGCTCATTGGTCTAACAGGACAGTCCAGGGTAACCTGGACTTTAGTGCTTGACACTGATATAAAAATGGTAACTATAAAAAAAAAAAAATCAGATGTGAAGCAGAAGCATCAGGCATCTGACTGCATATTATCCCACCTGTTGCATTTCTACTTACCAAAAAACAAATGAATGGACATCAAATATTGATTTGTACTGCAATTATTTTATTATGCAATTAAAAAGAGTGATACATGAGAAAACCACAGTGTAGGAAATCAGTTGCCAAGGGCAATAGTCAATTATACAATTTTGATATACCAAAAGCAATAACATGATTAGCTCCCTAGAGGGCAATAGTGTGTTATTTGAACCTTACAGTGGCATAGTGGACAGTCTCTGTTTCTATGGTGTCTGTTGGATATTCATCAGTGGGGATTGAAGATGCATGTTTTGTTTTAAAATGAATGCTGGAATAATGAATGTCTTGATTGTCGACATCTGCTTTCTGCATGAGGTCAGAGGGTGCAGTGTTATTGTGCACTGGGTCATACTGATTGGGGACAGCCAGCAAGAGAAAAGTCAGCATTTGTAAATAAATATATGTAAAATTAAATTTAGTGTCAGCCATCCTTACCTGAACCTCCTCCTCCACCTTTTCAGTCCTGTGGGTTTTAGAAAAGGTACACCTTCTCCTCCTTAAAGAAACAGCCATTTAAATACAGTATATAGCATATTATGTGGTCCGAGTCTGAGTCCACTATTTGAGATTTTTCTAAATTTAATACATTTTAGTGTTACAATTTATATTATCAGATTGTATTTATCAAATTATATTTCACAATTTCATTTTATTTGTAACATAAATAGTGGAAAATCTTAAATATTTCTCTTTGTTTTAGCTCATCATTTTACTGTTTTTAATTGTTTTATTCCCAAAACTTAAAATAAAATGTACTGACCTATACCACAGGACTCCTATAAGTGCAAGAGTCAAAAACACACACAGTATGATTGCAGAGTTTCGTAGCGCTGTGCTCTCCTTATGGTCTGTACAACACAGAAATTAATCATATCTGAATTTAAGATTAGTTGCACTCAAACAGACTGCAACAATCATTTTGCATTAAACTACATGTATCATGAGAGATGTGTTACCTTCTACAGCACAGGAATACTGGTGAAGCTCTTCAATGCTGGCTGAGTCCAGGTACAGCTTGTTGTCTTTAGTGAATCCATCCGTTACCTGTCGTCCGTTCTTGTACCAGATATAAGTATGTTTGTTGTTCAGAGTGCATTTAGTTGAACAGATTAATGTCACTTCCTGTCCCTCTGATAAAATGTCTGGGCTTCTTGTTACCTGTGTATCTGAAGCACAGAATTAAAGTACTATAAAGCTGAGCTTAACAGTGAATTTGAGTGACATGGAAAACAAAAACTTGATATAATGGCACTCTAGTCTGTCTGTGAACATTTTCCCACCATTGGTGGCATTAAAATCTTATCATTCACTGTTGATCAAATTCATTATGATGAGTTACCTGTAACAGTAAGAATGACTCCAGGTGATCCAGAGTATTTGCCGTTTGTCGTGTTAGTGATGAACCTGAATCGATATTCTCCAGAGTCGCTGATCTTGAGCTCTTTGATTCTCAGTTTGTTCCCCACATACTCCACACGACCAGCAAACTGATGCTCCTCACGCAGATCCTTAAAGTCACCAGGCCGAACGTAATGCCAGAATGTTTTATATACAGTATAACCAGAGGGATGTGAGAATGTGCAGGAAATGTCTACTGTTGAGCCCACCAAAGCACAGACTCTTCTAGAGGTGTAAGTCACATCCCAGCAGCCACTCTTAGAAATGCCTGAAAGAGACACAGAATACTGCTGTGAAACTCACAACTTAATTTCATCTGTTTAAATATACACATGTATGAACAAACAGCACCACACTGTGTGTATTATGTGAAACTCACACTCAGAAGAGGAGGGATGTTCATGATGTGGATAAAGAGAACAGGAAAAGCTGCCAGCATCTCTGCTGACTGACACAAACATGTTGGTGGATTTTGTATATATTAAATACTGTCTATTCTTCATCCAGTAATAGTAAACCCCAGAGGTCAAATCACAGGAAGAATCACAGATCAGTTCTACTGTCTCCTCTCTCGGGTCTGTAGACGCAGGATTCATCCTCACCTGCAAGACTGAATACAGCAAAAATTAAGAAAACTTCATCACATATCAAATGAAAACAGCTGAAGTGACCAGAATCTCGACTCAGTTTCACCTGTGACTGTTAGACTGACGGCCGCTGAGCTGAGATGTTTAACTCCATCATTCATGATGAACATGAGCTGATATTCTCCAGAGTCTCTCTCTCTCACGTCTGATATTGTGAGTTCTGCTTCGTATTTACCAATGATCTGCTTCACCCGTCCTGAGAAATCTGAGTCTAAA